TTACATTAATGAACACATGATTGGATTTACCAAATTTTCCATTGCATTAAAAAAAATTCCTTTTATAGGAGAGAATGAAGGAATACTAAAACTGATAATGCAGCCCAGACTAATACAACAGCTGGGATGGAGAAGGTCTTATTCAATATGTGGCTGTAGAATGAATGAATGGTTGTGTGACTGAATGAGTATGTTTGAGGAACAAGAAAAAGGGCAGATGGTGCTAATGGTGGTGACATGCCTCCCCCATCAACCCCAGGTTACAACTGCATCTTTTTCTTTAAACCGTTAGCCAGCAATCTGAGAGAGGCAGTTAGAAATGTCCCCAGAGTTTCTCCTTATAACGAACGTCTTTATATTTATATATTTTTTAAGCCTGTGATGGATTCAGAGTCACATTGTGGGTATAACATAGTTAGGGGAGGAATTCTTTACAGAACTTAGAGAAAATGCTTTCAGAAGAGCTCCTTCCTTCAGGCCCACCATATGTTTGTATTCACGCCCCCTCTGCATCCTCTGGATATGATAAACACAGTTTTCCCCAGACTCAGGATGCCCTATTCCACGCTGTATCATTTTTAGTTATTAAATAACAGGACTCAATATTAATGTTGGCCTTCTCCATCCCTCTTTAACAAAGTGTTTTCAGCCAAAGATATTAAACTAGTCAACTGCTCTTTTCCCCTGTCAGAGAAACAGCCAGCATCCTGAAATCACAGCTCATTTGTACTACATTGGCGTGAATATTCAGACTCCATTTGTCTCCAGCTCTTAAAGGCTGGTGTTAGAGTGAATGATAGACATTTTGTTTTGAATTAGCAAAAAGGGAGAGAAAAAAAAAAACGCAAGTAATAAGTTTGGCCTAAAATATCTGTTTCAGGGAATGCAGCTCTGCCTTTTCCTCTAGTGAAAGTCAACTTTAAAAAAAATCTAGATTTAATTTGGCATTAGGTCGGACCTGGGATATAGAGAATAGGAGGAAGGAAAACGTCTCAGTCTTTTCCCCCTTGGATTGAGAGCTTATTCTTCTTAAGTCCTGTTGGTGTATGGCTGCACGGAGTGGTGCAAGATGTTCACGACTTCGTTTTGTTGAACACTCCAAAGCAGAATTGGGAAACAGTTGACTCTGTGTCCTTGAACTGTACAAATCCTATCACAGTTGGTACCTCAGGTAAGACTTTTGATAGTTTTGGTTGAAAGCTAAATAGCAAAACCATTCTTTTTCTCTTTACTGCATATTCACTTGTGCTTATTGGAACAAAAGCCTGGAAAAGAGTTCTAGGCAAGAACTCCTGGCACTGCTATCTGTTTTTCTCCCGGCTATCTCTGTCCCCCATCTCTGCTTGTCCACCCTGGCACAACCTCTTTCCATCAATAGTTGTGCTAGACAGGAATGTGTACTTCTATGGAGGCCCCTCTTAAGGCCAAGTGCAACTCCCTGGCCAGGGCAACTCCATTATTTGGCCAGAGTTACAAAATCTGCATGTGGCGGTACTGGAATGTCCTTATCATGACGGTTTCCGGAATGTTGGGAAGACCATGGGAATCCATGTTCCTTGTACCCCTCAGTCTTTAACCAAACTTGGGCTCACCGCATATTTTCCTCCTTATACCGCATGATAAGGACCTGGGAGCAGCCTCCCTGAGGTGAGGCTCTTGGGGAAGCCAGTGTATTCAAGACCTTCTCACACATGAACCTTGTTTCACAGCCACTAGTAGAAATCTGTAGCAAAGACTCTTAGTCTAAGAAAGACTCCTTCAGATCCTTCCATAACAAGTTTGGGCACACTTGAACTAAATAAGAGACTGAACACTTTGTCAAGGGTGTCTAGAGAGGCTCGTTCTGCAAAACCAAGAAAAGAGGAAGAAAAAAACACTTCTCTTTCCACTCCATCTGGAGCTTCAACTGACTCCAAAAATACAGGCCCACGGTGGTCATAAAGTCTCCCATTTAAGCTGTTTTAAGACTAGGGCAAAGCCTGCTAGGTGCTTACAACTCAAAGTACTTCTTTTCCATGCTCATAAGAAAATTGTCTTTCTCTCTAAATCCTACAGCTGACTGAAATTAACGAACCACTGTTGGAAGACAACCATGCAGGTCACCGGCCACCATTCATTTGGAACACCCCACCAAGGCCATTCATGGATCACAGAGCTGTTTTCTCTTAACTTCAAAATTTCTCCTTTCTCATTTTATGAAAATAGCAATTTGTGTAAAAGTCACTTACTCAGGTGTCATTGATGTTTTGGGTAGCTGCGAGAAAACTGGCGTCTTTTCCTGGCTACTCGAAGAACAGCAATAGGAAGGTGTAGAAGTGGGTACCTGAAGAAAGCTGGTATCTCCAAGTTCATTTACAAAAAATTGGGTGGGTATATGCAGAGAAGAGACAAGCTTCCAGATCTCTGATAGCCTCTTTCACAAATAATCAGACAACCCAAGGAAAGATCAAGTGTTTCCGCTCAAGAATGAGAACTAAGGGAGAGAGTGAGAAAAAAAGAAAAAAAAAAAAGCAAGGAGGAAACTTAAAAGAGAAGACATCACACAGGAGAAATAAAAAGAGGAATGAAGGAATACCTTCATTTGCATCACAGTAAGCAGGAAAAATTAGGGAAATTCTGTGCTCAGGTAATGTGGCCGCATTAGAAATGACATTTGATGGCGTGGCCAAGAGGAGAAGCTTGCTGTGACCATCATGACCCACAGCCTGGCCCCTTCATGCTCCACCAGCCCCTATCCTAGCTTGGCCGTGAAACCCTAAAATGTTGCCAAAGCCTCCTCGAGGGCACAGGTGGTGTGCGGACCAGCAGGGAACAATGGACTAAGGAGGCAGTTCAGTGCAAAAGAGGTATGTTTCCCCCAACTGAGCCCTTCACTGACTGTCTAGATGAGATAATGTTCCCTGGGGAGTCAAACACATGCTCATGGGTGGCATTAGCCAGAGCTGGTAGGGCAAGACTCACAAGAATGTTTGGGGCATAGCCCCTAAAAGAGAGGGCAGAAGAAGAAATCAAATAGGGCCCAAAAAAATAGGAGGACAGAGAAATAGGTAGACATACACATTAGCTAACGTACGTGTCGTTACAAACCCTCATTAGAAGTACCATGTAGATTTCTTTCTCTTGGGAGGGTCCCTCTCCAGTTATTTACCAGGAAAGTTGTCTATATACAATTTCCGGAGGCAGTTTCAAACCACTGCTTCTCTCCCCCAACACAATCTTTCTGAGTGGGCTCATCCACTGTCATGGTCTTAATTCCTCTGTGCAGACTATGACTGTGAACCTCTCTATCTCTAGTTCTCACCTGAGCTTCAGACTTGCATTTCCCTTGTGGTCTACATGCCCTCGGATGCCTCACAGCTCCTCCAACTCAGTAAATCCCAATCTAAACTCATCGTCCTTCCCTCTTGGCTCCCAAGACAATGTTCTCATGGCAAAATGACCTTATCTGGGGCAGGTTCATGTGATTTACCACCTCCTACCTCTTTGAGGAGAGCGGTAACTCTGCCGCCATCAGTTAATCATATTTTTCTTTCAGCCCTCTCTCAAGCCTTGACCCATTTCCACCTATTGTGAGGTGGAGGAGGGGGCAGCAAGTGAGGAGAAAACACCACTATAATTATCATTTGGAGATGGTCTTAAGGCAAATAAGGTGTAGGTTCAGAGGCTGTGTCTCATCATCTATCCATTCATTCAGTCAACCAGTCATTTAATTTGGTCAGTATTATTAAAATTTACTATATGCAAAACCTCCTCTATCTAATGTGAGAGATGTAAAAGGCACACTCTTCAATTTCAAAAATTATACCGTGTCCTAGGGAACTGAGAGCTGTTCACAAAGGACTAAAACACACTAGAAAAAAGGAACGCTCTGAGGGTGATGTACATGCTAAGGGAGTTCAGGAGACGAGAATCAGAGGGAGGTCCATATGCAATAAACCAAAAACCAACACAGTAGAGAAAAAAATGATAATGGGGTGTTATAGACTGAATTGTTCCCCTGAAATTTGTATGTTGAAGTCCTAACCCCCAGTGCCTCAGAATGTAATTGTATTTGGAGATCAGGTCTTTAAAGAGGTGATGAAGTCAAAATGAGGTCATTAGGGTGGCACTAATCCAATATGACTAGTGTCCTTATAAGAATAGGAAATTCTGGACACAGAAAGAGAGACTCCAAACACATGTGCGTGCAATAGGATGGCCATGTGAAGTCACAGGGAGAAGATGGCCATCTGCAAGCCAAGGAGAGAGGCTGTAGAAGAAACCAAACCTGCTGACACCTTGATCTCAGACTTCTAGCCTCCAGAACTGTGAGAAAATAAATCTCTGTTGTTTAAGCCCCCCAGTCTGGGGTACTTTGCTATGGCAGCCCTAGCAAACTAATACAGGGTACAACTCACATAATCCTGAAACAAAAATTGCCTGAGAACTGTGCGATTCCTGAAAAGCTTTACTTCCCACTGGTGCCAACCTCGGCAAAACTGCGAACAATTGGAGTTTCCTTTAGTTTCTCCATCCTCTGCCTTCTGAAATCCCCTCTTCCTGCTCCCCGGGTAGACCCTCTGCTGGTAGAGGTTCTCCTCCCCAGCGAGCAGGATTTGTTGAAAGTGAGGGGTACTTATTGCTCCTGAAATCACCAGTATTTGTGCAAAGATGAGCTTATTCACCCTGGAAGGCTGACTCATCATCTCTTTATTCCCTCAAGTTATCAGCATTCTTCACAGGAAATAAGGACTTCATTATTGATCAGGGACTGTTTGGCTTAAGATATTAGATATGCAGGAAAAAATAAAGGAAACAAATCAGATTACGAATCAAGAAAAGAATTGCTTCCAAACTTGATAGATTAGTTGACTGGAAAGTAAACAATGAGAGGCCTAGCAGAAAGACTGGTTTCTCACATCCCTCTAGGTGCAAGAATTTAGAAATTCAGGCAGAGAGGCTGTATAATTGCTGAGAGCAGAACTGCCCCCCTCCAAAAAACCCACATAAATTCTACTCACAGGTAAGGAGTCAGATGTCCACTTCTGAGCCTTCTGGTTGATCAGCAATCCCTGCAGGATCCAACCGAATGATCTTGGAATGTTTTACTGATACCTGGTATAAATAAGGAGGATGGAAACATAATTAAGTGGAGTGAATTTTCATTAACATAGACTATATATTTTTAAATATTATTGCTTCCTCAGGTACTGTTGTTAGGACCTTGAAGGAGGAATAAGATATAGATATTGTGCATTTAAAAAACAAATAAATACAATGATTACAGAGTCAACCCCTAAGTTATTCTAAATAAATAGGGTGGAGAAGGTGGTATGGTTAATACAAAACAGGGAGTACTACAAATGCCAAGAGTCAAAGACAAAAGGCTTTAGAACATAGTCAAGGACACCCTTTCTCTAAGCTCAACCCTCAAGTCTTCTAAGCTTCAAACTCTCAAAGACTCTTCAGACTCTTTGCTTTGTTAAAGTTTTCTGCTGTTGATGGTTAGGAACTTGACTAGTTGGTACAAGAGGAGGCTCTGGAGGATTACGAATAATTATAGAAATGTACCAGGAGATAATCTAGAGTTAACGCTCTTGCATTTGAAACACAGCAATAAGTATTAAACATTAGAAGGACCAAAGAAACAATAATTTTGACAGCAAATCACTGTCACACCCCTAAACCTGCCCCAACATGATGCTATAAGGGATGCTGAGTATGAACTTCGGGCTTTTAATATTTGCCTTTAATTTAGTGGAATAATGGGTCTCAAGTGGACCTGAAGAAGACACCTTGCTTCCCCCCATTCTCACCCCCTGCCATTTTGAATTGGAAGGAAACAGAAGCTCGCAGAGGTTAAGGGACTGACTTGGAATCACACTGCTAAAAATTGGTCCTGGATTCCTAGATTTTCATTTCAGGTTTCACAGGTAAAACACAAAACAAAACAAAAACCTGCCTAGCATGCTATGTATGGTTTGTGTCCATCTGGGGAAGGCTGGTTGGCAAACTAGGGATCAGGGAACCTTGAGGGGTTGTAAATTAGTCAGTAAAACCTGGTGCCATCCATTTCCTTATTCTTGAGCAGTCACAGGCTGTCTTCAGCTCCTCTCCCTCAATCTCGACCACCTCTTCCTTCTCCTCTCAAACACACGTGTCTAAGCAATCGTTGTATTGTCTTATATCTAAAGTACCCTGCTCAGCATTCTGGGGATGTGAGCCCTGATCTTAAGGAGCCTAAAATCTGGTTGGAGTAATAAAGCATATAATTACACTTCTAGGTTACAAAGCCAGAAAGTGGGAAGAACTCCAAATCCCATTTAAATTCCTTTTCTTCTACTGTGGGCCAAATTTTGGAGGTCTTTTCTATAAATCTGAGGGGAGGGAGACAAGAAAACCTGTGCTGTATCTCCTAGCTGGAAAACTCTGTTCATATTCCGGTTCCTTACAGCTCCTAGGCCCCTGCCAGCACAGTGGGGCATTAAGAAATATTTGTTGAATGAATGAATGGAATCCATGGATGAGTTTCAGGGGGCATTGTGAACTTCCCAAAACTGTAGGCCAAATGCTGTGTGTATTAACTTTCATTGATTTCTCAAAGCAGTCTCTGCTCCCTTTTTCCTCGCTCCAAATTGAGAACCACTTGCTAAATGATTAGCAGAGTTCTAGAGGATGCAGTTCAGATGAGAACAAATTACAGCGTGTATTCCTGTAGGTAAATTTATAAACAAATATGGATTGAGCACCCTCTATGTGTCAGGAACATATTGGGGATACGACAACGAACAAGTAGCCGTTGAACTCAGCCTCAAGATCCTTGTAGTACATTGATCCCTTATAATTCTCAGACTGGCTGTATGTCAGAATCTTCTGGGGGAGTTTTTAAAAAATACCATATGGGATACTCCATAGAGCTCCCCAGTGATTCGCGCCTCAAAAAAAGTTCCCTACATTCAGACGCTGGCGTACATTACAGTCCCCACCCCACACAGTCCTCCCATCTCGACCCTCAGGCTCCAATGAAAGCAAAGGAGACTAGAAGAAAGCTAGGAGTGACTTGCCTGAATTGAAAATGAACATACTGAGACATTTAAATTTGTAGAGAAAAAATTCACAGTTCCTTCCCCAAACCCTCTGGCAGGGTCAGTATTTATTTGCCTCGTTTCCCTTTCGCCTGCTCCCATCCTCTCAGTATTTTACTTTTTAAATTTAAGAATGAATAAAGAAAAAAACAGAGGAAACAATGCTATCAGTGGAAAGAATTTTTTTTCGGTCGGTAATATCCCTGTCCATGTTCATGAACTATCTTGTTGATGAGACAGAGTTAGAAAGGCTTTCAAGGGAAACCGTCAAGGGAATGGCCAAGTGACTGAGAGTGCAGTTTCTCTTCAGATATATTTATTCTCCTGTCTATTTTCAGACTTAGGATAAAAGGGCAGAAAGTTGATGAAGTTCTTACTCCCTGTTTTAAGATCTTTCTGTACTGTCAGTTACCTTGCAACTTCTAATAGATGCCTGGGTGAACCATTACTCACTGGATCCTTTAAGCTTTTAATTCAGTGCTCAACACATAGATTCTGGCCGACCTGGCTCAGAAGCAGTTGCTGAAATTCTCTGCAGGCAGAGCTGAGTCTAGACTGGACATGGTAAGGAAGAAAAAGACCTGAGATGAAGGAAGAGGGGAAGGGAGAGAGAGCGGGGCTACATTAGGCAAGTGGTCCTGTCTTCCTTCCAGAGTCCCCTTCCCAGCGGCAAACAGTCAGGTGCTATTTATTGCTCCTTTGACTGAACCATCTGCTCAGGCGTGTGGGGGGAAATTGGGTTTTACATGAAAGCATTTGCTGTGGGAGAATCAAGGTGTAATAAAAGGAAAGGAGGAATTTATCCCCTCTCAATCAGATTTCTAGTCCTCCAAGAGTAATGATTTTCCTGAAACACTCAGGAAACCTCTAATGAAAGCCATTCAGTAGCATAAGAAACAGAAACTAGCACTTTCCTAGACTACACAAATAGAAAAATGTTGCCAGTATATATTTGCAAAAACTTGCTAAAACTCTCAAATTCTTACCACAAGTCTTCACAGAAAGATGTCATTTTCCAAGTGGATATCAAGAGGAGGGTCTCAAATGGTAACTTATTATAATAGTGAGTTATGGCAAAGGTTAAATAGGGATCCTTTATAAAAGGAATAACTTTGTATAGCTAACAAGAAGAACCAGGTTTTAATTAATTTAAAATTTTACCAAAATTTTACCCCATGTGTTTGAATTAAGACCCCTTGATTTGAATATTTATATTTACATTAAAAATCCCTCCATGACTCTTTTATGATATGCTCTGATTTCATTATGGAGGTACTAACAACTACTGTGTATTAAGGGATTTGGGGCCCAGCCCTGTCCTGAGCACGTTGCACACATCGATCTCATTTGTCACTCTAACAACCTAGTGAGATACATATTCTTACCTTAGGATAAGCACGGAGAAGTTCATTGTATTTAAGTCTTTTGCCTGAATTCACCCAGCTGGTAAGTGGTGAAGCCAGTATTCAAACCCAGAAACTGAACCAGCCTGATGTGTGTATTGGAAGGATACACGCCCACATTCACTTATTCATTGAGTTAGTACTCTGAGCCAGAATGGAACTCATAGTTATGAGCAAGAACTCTGCTTTCACAGATTCTGGTGGGGTATAGACAACACGCATGTTTCTGATAGTGAGTAAGTAAAACAGCATGATGTGATAGAGGGCCACCGTGGGGCCACTGGAGGCTGGATGATGAGGGATGGTCTCTCCAAAGAGGAGACATCTAGGCTGAAAATATATTTCTAGGAAGGAGTAACTCATGTGGAGATCTGTGGAACGAGTGTTCTAGGAGGAGCCCTTGAGAATCCTGGCATGAGGTAGAGACTTTCATGAGATGACTGTGTGCTCTGTGCTCATGAAACTCTTCCAAGTTATTTGGTCCGCACGGGATTCAGGCTTATCTGTCTGTTAGCAGAACACACATGCTGAAAGATGTGCTGAACAAGGGGACTTACCAAAAACTGATGCTCCAAGTGCTGATTTTGCTGGAAATCACGAGGGTGGTTGCAGTGCTGGTGATCTGTCCCTGCCCAGAGAGGAGAGTACCAGGGATGCACATGGCCACCTGTGTGTCTAGCGCCCAGAGCAATGGAGGTCCCCCTGCACCCTCTTTCACTTGGTAAACTCAAAGAGAGCTGTTTTCTCTGGGCTTATGAGTTCCTTTCAGTCTTGTGTGTTGGAGGATACAGCAGAATATTTCTTATAACAGACAAAAAAATGAAAAGCTACAGGACATAATCCTTGGAATGGGAAAAGAATGGTAAGTAGCTATTTCAGTCTTAGTTGGCAGGAAGTCACATAATTTGTGGGGATGGAAATTAAAATAAAATATTTAAAAATAGATCTATGGGTTTTAGTCAGAATGAGCCAGTAACAATAAAACATTAATAATTCTCTCTTGTGATTTGTCTCTGTTTTACATTTATAGTTGAATATGGGAGCTAGGAGTATTTTAGAAGGGAAGAAATATGTGATCTTAGGGAATTTGGGTCACTTAAATAAATACTAATGAGTGAAATGATCTTGACCAAGTCATTTAACCACTCTTGGACCGTCAATTCCTTCATCTGTAACATGAAGCATTTGGAATAGATTTTTAAGGTCTCTCCAACTCAGATAGTTTTTGTATAATTCTATGATCTTTTAAGGAAAAAAAAATGTACTGTGTGTATCTCAGTATCTGGGAATGACCTTGTTACAGTTGTAAATAAAACAGGCTCAATCAAATTCACCCTCTTCAGCAGCTGACAAGGTGCTCAGAGAAGGGTATTGCTTTTCAAGGACCGCCTACCCTCACCACTTCTCCATCATTTCTAAGAGATGAGTGCATTTCATAGCTCCAGGAGAAATGATAATGTATTACATAATAATAGCTATAATTTATTGAATGCCTACTATGTGCAAGGTATTTAATATCTGTTACTTCATTTAATCTTAAAAAGAGAACTGTGAAATCAGTTGTTTTTATTGTCCCCATTTGAAAGCAAGGAAGGGGCCAGCCAGGTGGTGCAGTGGTTAAAGTTCA